GATAGATAGATAGATAGATAGATAGATAGATAGATAGATATATAGATAGATAGATAGATAGATAGATAGATAGATAGATAGATAGATAGATAGATAGATTCGGATGAGAATAAGGAGAGCTAGTGGATTGCTACTGTCAAGTTTACTGACACGGGATTTGTTCAGTCTGGAGATAGATAGATAGATAGATAGATGGACATATGAAAAAAGATAGATAGATAGATTGATATAGAGAGGGTGTAGATGAAGGAGACGAGAGCTTGGATAAATTGTTGAAATTAAGATTAAGAGGAGATAAAGGTAGTTAGTTAAGTGGTTTCTAAAACATCTATCTCCATACAATGTTTAAATTCAATGTTCTATATTTTACACAAATTTTAAATACTAGAAATTCAAGGCGCTTCGCGCCCTTCTTTCTAGCCTTAGAGGGCGCTTCGCGCCCATCTTCTAAATTAATTGTAAACATGTTCTCTTTGTGTACATCGTAAAACTAAACAAAAATAATTTGCGGATTTTTACAAAAAATTTCGCGGATTTTCAAAATTTTAAAAAATTTAATGACGATCGAATTTTGATAGAGACAAATATTTGAAATTTTGATGATTCATAAACCTTCCCTGGGCTCCCTAGATGTCCCACAAAAAATTTGGGCCCGATCGGTTCAGCCGTTTTGACGTTTATTGGATACAAACAAACAAACAAACAAACAAACAGACAAGCCAAATTTATATATAGATATACAAGAGATATAAGATTAGACCACGATTTAAATGATTCTGGAATATTAGTCATAATTAGGGATGGATCGTTTTCAATTTTTTGAAAAACGATCCATCCCTAACAACGACGAATAAAAAACGAATAACAAAACAGTCGTTTTTAAAAACAGTATTTTTTGAAAAATATCGTTTTTAAAAAATCAAAAAACGAAGAAGCCATTCGTTAATTTTTGACGATCGTTAACGTTCTTTAACTACGACCCCTCGTTAACGATCTATAAGGACGACCTTCGTTAAAGATCGCTAACGACCTTTTCAGACAAAATACATTTTTGGTCGCAAAATAATACCATGTAAAACTACATAAATTAACTTATCTTCCAAAAAAAAATCAAAATTAATTTGCATAAAGCACATATTCATTACCAAAATTTAGTTTTAACGATTTAAAACCTTTATTTACCAAACTTCAGTTGAGACTAAAAAATAAGACTCTAGTCTCGAGACATGTCAGAACTACTTCTGTTTAGAGTCGGGTCTAGATTTGAATGAATTGATACTTGCAAGAATTATATACTTGAGACTGCAGTGATGTCAATGTTTTGATTTTATTGGTGATCAAATATTTTAAACAAGATTTTTATCCAACATTAATATTTTAGAGATACCACAGAGAATGGATGGGCCTGCACTTCAATATACGACACTAAGCATTTTTTGTTCTATACCATTCCTAAGGAGGAGTTTTATAACTATATTACTATTCTTTTACAGGAGATGGAAGTATCTGAAAAAATCTACATTCTCATTATGTGGAACTGTATAGGTCACTCCTTTTCATCAAAGATACCAATATTTTATATAGATACCTATGCTTTTAAATTGTAGATTTTCCTCAAAGAGCACTATAGCCTCTTCCACAAGATTTCAAGCTTTTCAAGGAACCCCTCAATTTTCATGGGAGACCCTGCAAAAAGCTTTTCATCAAACTCCCAAAATTTTTTCATCTGACACCCCAAAAACTGTTTTTGGAAGTTTGTTGGTTATACCTCCAGGTTTACAAAGAAGAATTCCAGACTTATAGATAGATATGTTCATAGATAAATATATAGATAAATAGATATATTAGATAGATTTTATAGATAGATAGATTAATAGATAGATAGATAGATAGATAGATAGATAGATAGATAGATAGATAGATAAATAAGACCGATGATCCATCAAAGTGAAGTATGTTAATAAAAAATGGCATTGTCATCAGAATAAGATCTTGCAAGATAGATATCCAAATATATGCAATCTATCATTCCCATCATAGGGGCAACAAAAGGGGATGTGACCCCCCTCACATTCCCCCCCCCCCCCCCTCCCTTCCACCGTACAGTCTTTTAAATGGCGCAAACATAAAAAAGCGCAAATAAAGTTATCAGTAGGGGTAAAGGAGGGGAGAGGGTAAAATATGAGTTTTTATAATTGAATTTAAAACCATTGATAGGATAAGTTTATATAATTGATATTGCAATATATAATTAAAAACTGCATTTTCATGTACATAACAAATCGAGAAACGGATACAATTTCTTGTCCCTAAAAAAGAAATGTGTTTGTACTTTATCTCAATTTCTGGCGGGCATAGATGTACTTTTTGTCGTATGGTGCAGGAAATACTTGGATATCTTTAATTTGAATTTGTTTGCTTTCTCATAACAAATACAGTGATAACCTGAAAACTCTGAAATGTGAAGACGACTTTCAGACAGAAGATATGACTTTAAATGGTCCAATCAGCATGGTACGAAGCAATTGTACAGTTTAAACAGACCCATTTCAATTAATTAGTGATTTAAAGTGTCAAGTAAAAATATTTGCTTTGAAACACCATCAAATTCACTTAAGTATAGCTATAAAGCCGTCTTCCTATTCCAGAGTTTTTTGGTTATCACTTATATAGGGATATTCACAAAGAATAACACTTTGAATCAAGGTCGAGGATGACATTTAATCTTCAGATTGTCATATATAAAGTTTTCCAGGTCGTCATTAAGTGGGTTACCCTGTAAGATTAATTGAAAGAAAAAAATCTACAGTGAAATTGACAAGTGTCCCTATCGGGGCCTAGAACACCGTCAAAAGCGCCTCCAGGCAGAGGATAAACAAATATTGAAAGTGAACGCGGCAGTTCTCCCAGGCGGTCTCTGTCGTCTTCGTTGTAAAAACAAACAATCCTCCTGTGTAGACACACACACTGGCTTTGTTCAAATAAACAGTGAGGGAGGGACTGGAAGACAGATAAATAGACTCTAGGAAGGGAAATAGAATTCTTTAAACATCTTTATTAAAAAAGTCGGTGATCTCACATTCCTGGACACTTAGAGGCCCATTTATCCAACTAAACCACCCAGATGGATCGTGCAGGGTCAAAAGAAATTCAGATTTTGTCTGAAACTCAAATTATCTAATCCCAATATCTTTGCAACCTGATGGTGTAAACCTTTAATATTTCAAACTTTGATAAATGGATACCTAGGGTGTCCCAATGAACATGGGAATTCAGTAACGACTTTTATATCGTCTTCGATCCATGCGGCATTTTTTCATGAACACAATCATTGCAGTATTCCAGCTTAAACATCTTGAGATTTTCAAAATGTGGTCTACCATTTTTGTATATTCAAAATTGACGGAGATATTTCAAAATGTGTACAAATTTCAATTTATTTTATAAATCAAAATTGTCATAATATCTAATATATTCGTTAATTTTAAAATACAAGAAAGGTAGACCAGTTTATGAAAAGCTCGGAAATCAAAGACGACTTTCAAGTCGTCTCTCAATTCCCATGTTTATGAGGACACTTATTACACTTATTATAAAGGACATTTATTGCTTCTAGTTGTAAATACATGATAAATAACGATTGTATAAAAGGAGAGGAAGTTGAGTTGGTCTTCTCTGGTTCCAGGATCCGAAACTACTGATTTCCAGATTTTATAATCCTTGTTCGAGGATTTTTTCCTCCACAGATGTCCGCGAACTTTTTTTCTCTAAAATTCAAAAGTTTAGGAAAGCAAAAATGTGCATACATATAATTTCTATCAAATAGGTTAACAAATTTGAAAGATATGTAAAATACAAATATGCAGAGTTAACAGGTTAAATGATTATTTAAAATGACCTCCATTGTTTTTAACACACTTTTCCGGCCTAATCCTTATGTTCCATCCTAGCTCGTAAAACCATACCATGGTCAAAAGCTATTACTTCTCTTATTATTTATTTGTTTCATTGAAAAACAACTTTTCCTAAAAAATTAGACCAGAAGGAAAATTTCGAATTTTCATTTTACAGTTTTACGTATTGTCTGTGATTGATATTGTTTTTATTTTGGGATTTAATAGAAATAATGTATTATTGCTTTTCTGAACCTTCGATTTTGAGAGAAAAAAAAATTTTTAGAGTACAAAAAAAAAATATTCCAAAAAATGTTGAAAAAATACCATCCAGGAGAGTTGCACAAAAAAAGGTACAATTTTGCACCAGACTGTAATAAGCACACTTTTTTTCTGACTCACCCTATACCTATAAACAATAAAATGCCGGTTTTAATCACAGTTTACCAAAATAGTGAATTATATTTTACGGGATGCTAATAAACAAACCTTGTAGTTTTTTTGGAAAAGGTGTGACAAATCTTAAAATCTTTAAACTTAAACATTTTTAAACAACATTTTGGCAGAGACATTTATATTAATTAACAGTGGCCGAATTTAAAGAATTTGAGCGGCGGTTTAAATTTAAACCGCGGCTTAAATATGGTTGGTTCCACTTAAAATTGTATCAAATGTTTCAAGATTTAAGCCGGCGCTAAATTTAAACCGGGTTTTGGCGGATTTTGGCGGATTTAAACCGCGGCTCAAATTCTTCGTACGCCCCTCATGCATGATTGTCTTATCCATGGAAATGGGAAATAATGGGGGGAGGGGGGTTAATGGTGGACCATTTCCTCTAAAGTATTGTAGTCATAATTGTTTATAAAAACTCCCATTCATTACCCATACCCTCCTGCTTGAATTGTGGCGCCCCTGTGATTAATCCTGAGTTTGCGGAGTTTTGTGAACATTGCGTACACTTGTACGTCAGTATACACTTTAACTATGAAATGAACTCTTGAAACCAGTCTTTGAAAGTACAGACACATTTGAATCGAATTCAATTCGAAACAGAATATTAACTAGTAAGTGATTCGAGTATTTATATTATGTTTTTACAATTGTGCAAAGTTTCAAGTGGTTTCAGATTATACTGTTGAATATTCAAAATGGGTCGCGATGAGATGGATGATAGGAAAAGAGCGCTGATTTTCGGGAAATTTAAGTTTCTATATCAGGTAGTTCGGTCTGTCCTAGTATTACCCTAAATAATACTAAATATATACTAATTTGGTCCTGTACAAAATTGATAGGAGGGGGCGGGGTCCAAAAATCGTGCACTAGGACAGACCCTAATTTCTTTAGAGAACGATTTTCATCTTTTAAATCACGAATTTTGTTTTGATTTGATAACTGTAACATAACATGTACGATTTCCTTAACTTCTCTGAAATATGGCCAATTTCTTAGACGTTCTACCATAGGTAGAACCATAGTCACGCTTTACCAGAGTAGCGTAGATAGATATATACGACCTATAGTTATATCTATGGTTAAATGAATAAGAAAATGGCTAATAATTTGACCTTTCCCGCTGGCTTTTGCGAATTGGGGTCCGTCCTAGTATACTATTTTTGGACCCCCCCCCCCCTCCTATCAAATGGACATGACCTCTTATTTTTCAGCCAAAATATTATTATTGTTTTATTTTAGGATTAGGTTTAGGTTAAGACAATATCTGGGCCGAGCGCTGCAGCTAGGACAGGCTAGGGGGGCCGGCTCTGCGGCTAGGACAGGCTATGGGCCGAGCGCTGCGGCTAGGACAGGCTACGGGCCGGGCGCTGCGGCCACATAACCATTTATATCCATGTGTTACATATGAGATCCATGTACTAAATTAATTGAAAGGATGGAGGGGGGTTCAAAATCGTATATTAGGAAATACCGCGAATTGCCCTCGATCTTGGTTTAGTATTGGAAGAACTTCGGTCTCTCCTCCTGATCAAGTAATGGGGTTGGGTCTGTTAAGATGACCGAGCTCTGCCCCGATAAATTTACTAAATAATGTATAAAAAAGATAGAATGCGGTCTTAAATCTTTACTCGGAAATTACGGGGGGGGGAGGTTAGGTCAAGAAGCAAGCCTAGAAATTAAAGAAATGCCAGAACTTATTAGTATTGTAGTTATATTCTGTAACCCCATTTTATTTTAATTTTTAATGATACCAGCCTTCGAAATAAATCTTTACCGTATCATACAGTAGTAACCAGAAAACAGTCTAGTGCCGAAATTCTTACGTAATTTGTTGAATTAAGAGAAATTGTTAACTTTTATTTATAGAGGGTTCGGTCCGATTCACAATAGTACCGTTAAAAGCTTTGCCCATCTAGTACGAATTAGAATTCCATTTTTATTTTCTTTTAAAAACCAATTTCTATTTCGATTGTGGCTTCTCTTTGTATTTGACTGACGCATTTCTTGTTTTAGAAACAATGGAGACAATAACAGAATTGAACTGATTTTATCCATAAAAAGGATACTGTTGTGAATCGGGCATTCATATCTTCGCATTGAGGGTCTCATTAAATTACACGTTGTCCTGTAATAATTGGTTTAGTTCCACTACGTTAAAACGCATTTTTTATATAAACCTATTCTAAATCACGAATCTTATCGTGACAGTGAATGATAAAAGAACAAATGATGACGACAATCATCCCTCCGCTTTCTAGATACCACTTTATTTCAATGGATTCTGGATACCACTGTATTTTAGTGTATTCTGGATACCACTTTATTCTACTGTATTCTGGATACCACTGTCTACTATTTTCTGGATACTGCTGTATTCTACTGTTTTCTGGATACCCCTGTATTCTATTGTATTTTGGATACCACTATATTCTACTATTTTCTGGATACCACTGTATTCTACTGTTTTCTTATGTATTCTGACTACTACTGTATTTTTAGGATGAAACAGAAGAGCTGGAAAGCTTGGACAAATTTCAACTCGCCATCATTCAGAACAAACTTTTATGGTTAAGTGGTATTAAACAAATGATCTTCAGAAATGACTGTTAGAAATAATAATGAGCAATACCTTGGTTTCTTGTTCTAAAGATTTTTGAACTTTTACAAGGCACCAAACAAACCCTATGAGCTTGTGCAGGTTCTAAAATTTCAAGAATGTATTTTGTATCATGGACGCCGGACCTGTTTGGGAATTTGTCCAAAGGTTGGGGGTTGGGTATAAATGTTTTTCAATGGGTGCCATTGGGGCTTTAAACCCTGGAAACCATAGATTTCACAGATCTAGTGGGGAGGGACTGAATTCTCATTGCCAATCACCCCGTCTGTTCCCGCCTCTGTTTGCTTTTGTAATGATTTGCAAAATTTGTGTTATCTTTAAAAAATTAACTCCAGTAACTTGTTAAGAAGATTAAACAAATTATTAGATTATCAGATAAAACTGTTAAGTAGGGTCATCAAGCTAGCTAATAAATATAAACTGTTAATTAGGGTCATCAAGCTAGCTAATAAATATAAACTGTTAATTAGGGTCATCAAGCTAGCTAATAAATATAAACTGTTAATTAGGGTCATCAAGTAGCTAATAAATATAAACTGTTAATTAGGGTCATCAAGCTAGCTAATAAATATAAACGGTTAATTAGGGTCATCAAGCTAGCTAATAAATATAAAAATTATCTTTTAAAGAGATAAATATTGTAATCTTAATATATATAAATAGGTAAAACTTGTTCTTTTATATTAACTGATTAGGTTTTATTTTCTCTGTTTATAGGCCCTGTACAGTATAAAAATAAGGTAGGCTTTTTTAATGTTCAACCTCATCACTATACGGGGAAAAGAATTAAATCTTAAAGGGAGCCACCTGCTATGTAAGGTAGTTGAACTGAGTATGCAGTGTTGTGGAAAACTTCTTTCGGATTCATTCGAGACATATATTATACTTCTTAAAGAACTGTAAATCCCGAGTTTGAGCGCAAATTTGATGTTCAAAACTCCAAGTTTAGGGGTGGACACGTTTTCAGAATTAGTCTTTTTTAAATTATTAAATAACGACGACATAAAATGTAAAAAGGTCTACAATAAACTACAGATGCATGTATAGGAACATGTTAAGAAAATAAAAATTTATCTTGTCATCGAAAATAAGTAGTCTTGTTTAATAATTAGTTTCTATTTTCTCATTATTCTGGTTTCTCATTATTCACAAAGATTTTCTGCAGATTTTCTAGAAATATTATTGAAAAGATGACATTTGAAGAATACTCAGTTCAACTACCTTACACAACCGGTCACTCCCTTTAAATAGAAGTGATCTATAGATTTATAAAATTTATCTGATCAATCATGTGGAGAATCTTGTTAATTAATGAAACCACATCTTAAGTCTTTAAAATGAAACCGCGTCTTAAGTCTTTAAAAGGAAACCACGTTTTAATTCCTAAAATGAAACCACGTCTCCAGTCCTTAAAATGAAACCAAGTTATAAGTCTAAAAGAAACCACGTCTCAAGTCCTATAAACGAAAACAACATCTAAGTCCTTAAAAGGAAACCACGTCTTAGGTCCTAAAAATGAAACAACGTATCAATTCCTAAAATTGAAACCACGTCTGAAGTCCTTAAAAAAAATATTTCCAAATTAGGATTTTGATATTGATTCCTGGGATTACAAAAATATGAAACGTTCTGATCTCAAAATCACAAAATTTTAATTTTCTCTTTAACAGAAATGATATTTTTGAAAATTATAAGCGACTTGCAGATTTTTGCAGGAAAGTTTAAAGAATTTTAAGTTTTAAAAAGATATCGTTTCAATGTGAGTCACTTGAAATTACTTGTTCAGCAGTCCCTTCAGTGATGAAGATCCCCTTTGGATGAAATGTATTGGGATCCAGATCCTAAACATTTCTACAAAATTTTCTGATTTTTTTTTTTGGAAAAAGTGAAAAATTGTCTAACTTTTGTAGTCCTCTTTCAATTACTTTTATGCTGAAACTTTGTGGACCATTCAGAGATTAGGAAGTTTTTGTTAGTTAACAATTGAGATTTGTGTTTTGAGATTAAAAGGATCCGGATCCTAAGGACTAATTATCTAGAATGGAAAGATTAAGGAGATACTTGAGATCTATGGACAGGAGAAGAAACCTGGAGATGGATTCCAGTATTAACCAGTATTATCTAGGATGGGTTTCCGAATTAACCAGTAATATCTAGGATGGATTCCAGTATTAACCAGTATTATCTAGAATGGATTCTAGTATTAACCAGTATTATCTAGGATGGTAAGAGTGAGGAGATACTAGAGATCTATGGACAGGAGAAGAAACCTGGAGACGGGTTCTCAGATCCTCCAATAACTATTCCAGGTAAGGCAGACTTGTGTCCGAAAAGTTTCAGCCTAAATGTTCATTTTCAGCTTAAACGCCGTTAAATTGAACCTTCGATTTAGGCTATGGACGAAATATTTATCCCGCCAAAATCGAGTTTAACACTTGCAGTCTTTTATTAATTAACAATGATTTCTGCAAATTGTTGCAGCGTTTGCGCATTAGATTATGGTTTTTTTATGTCAACCTTGGAAAATTGTGATCCCATCATTTTTGGAAATTTATTTTTCCTTCTCAAAATATATATTAATTCCCCTGCATTTTTACTGGTAAACCCTTGAATTCTGTTATTCCTTCTTTATCATCATTTAGAGAAAAACGCAATTGAAAATAAATAATTTAAAGATAGAAGAAGATGGATAACTCCATTAGTTTAGTTCAAACAAAGGTTTAAAGGGTACCATTGTGAATCGTACAATTCACTCAATAATTTAGAATTATTAATGTTTTAGGCGTCTTGGATCTGTTCACAGTTGTTTGGAGTAATCCATATGGAGATATAACTGTGGATCAGGTTATAAACATAATATTTTGTCTCCTAGTTATCCATATGGAGATATAACCGTGGATCAGGTTAAAAACATGATATTATGGATCAGAACAATTCAGAACTGCAATATCAAAATATTATACAAGATAATTTAAAATTTGACTAAGCATCAGTTAAGCTGTGTTAATCTATTCTTGGAAAGCTTAAACTGTCTTAATCTCAGCTTAATCTAAGCTTAGAAAGATTAAACTGTGTTAATCCTAGCTTAATCTAATCTTAATCAGTAAAAAATGGGCAAAAGTAGAAACAATATTTCAAGGGGGGGGGGGGGGGTTTGAAAAATATCTTAAAATAGAAATTATTTTTTTAATCTGAAAAGGAAAAAATAATTCTTTAAAAAAATGCGTGTATGATTTTTAATAATAAAAAAAACAACTGTTTGAGTTTACTGATATCCAGTATATTCAGGACATAGAACTGTTTGAGTTTACTGATATCCAGTATATTCAGGATAAACAACTGTTTGAGTTTACTGATATCCAGTATATTCAGGATATAAAACTGTTTGAATTTACTGATATCTAGTATATTCTAGATATACAACTGTTTACTGATATCCAGTATATTCAGGATATAAAACTGTTTGAGTTTACTGATATCCAGAAGTACTCGACTTACAATGATGGGCCCAAAGCTAAAGGATTCTGTCAGTTTCACTCCAGCAGTTCTAGCAAGGTGGGGTTTTTACTTTTTCATGACGTATATATTAGGTTACCCACAAAGGATGAGACTTCAGAGACGACTGTACAGAATCGGTTTATTCTTCTTGCTTGTATGCATGGTTCTCCACAGCTGTAAATTTGTTTCTTTCTTGGGCAAATCATATAATACACATTTGAAAGATGATTTTTACGACAACCTTTGAATCGTTCTTTTTTAAAAGTTTTAAGTCTTCATTAAAGTCACATCCTTTGTGGGTAACCCTGGATGTTCTTGATAATTATTTATAATCATTTTGACCAACACTACCGACCTATGATTGCCAACAGCAGGATTGTAAGTTTCCCAAATTTTCGTATTTTCATCTCAAATGACGATCAAATTAGATGGTGCCGCGGTTTTGGAATTATTTTTTCTTTCTAAAAATGTTAACGTTTTAACTATTTATAATAGAGCGAGGACTTGTGTCATATCACAGTTTTCTGCAGTGCATAGGATCGGATCTGTTGGATCCGCAAGATTTTGGCTTTCTGGATCCGGATCCTCAAAAATATGCGGATCCACGGATCCGGATCCAAGGGGTAAAATATCAACCAAAAACTGCAAAAAAAACTTTTTATTCCAAAAACTAAAATCTGAACTTCTGAAAAAAAAGATTATAAAATTCCCTTATTTCTGAATGGTCAAGTTTTAGGAAAAAAATAAAACAAAAAAATCGAAAATTATTTTTTGTTAAAAAAAATTCAGTAAATCTTATAGAAATGACCTGGATCCGGATCCATTTTTTCCAGTGCGGATCCAGAATCCGGATCCGCATCAAATTAAGTGGATCCTAAGCACTGGTTGTCTGGTTACCATTGAATGTAATCAAATACCTTCTGAAAGGGACTTTATGCGTAATTATAAATAACCTCTCCTGCAAAAATAGCAATGTCCGATTCTCAACGGTGCCTTTAAAAATAAGAATTTTATTAAAAATACCTTCTGTATCTTGATCTTGCCAGGGTTCTTCATTTGTGAGAACAGCATTTTAACCAATTAAGAGCAAAAATATCATATGAAAGATGCAATTTAAATTTCTTTCAATTATTATTTTATTTTAGGACTTGGATGGGTTTGATTCTTCGATTTTCTGGTCTGCAGGTAGCAGATTTTAATTTATTTATCTATTAATTCAATCATTCATTCACTTATTCATTCTTTTATTCATTCATTCTTCTGGTCTTTATTTTATTTTCTGTTAAAGTCTGCGATAATCTTTTTATTTATTCTTTAATTACAATCTTTTAAGTTTTTCTTTCATAGGTTCTCCTTTCATTGATCCTAATTGTTGTCCTTTCATTCATTCTTTCATTTATATTTTCATTCTTTCATTAATTCTTATATTCATCCTTTCATTCTTTCATTCATCCTTTCATTCTTGTTCCCCGGTCCCCCTTTATTTGGTGCTTTAATGAATCCTTGCAGTGATCTTTGTTTTAGTGATCCTTATTGTGTCTATTCATCAATTATTGTCTTTATCCTTTAATTCACCCTTTTATTCATTCTTTTATTCATCCTTTTATTCATCCTTTTATTCATCCTTTTATTCATCTTTTATTCGTCCTTTTATTCAACCTTTTATTCATCCTTTTATTCATTCTTTTATTCATCCTTTTATTCATCCTTTTATTCATCCTTTTATTCATTCTTTTATTCCTTTTATTCGTCCTTTTATTCAACCTTTTATTCATCCTTTTATTCATTCTTTTATTCATCCTTTTATTCATTCTTTTATTCGCCCTTTTATTCATCCTTTTATTCATCCTTTTATTCATCCTTTTATTCATCCTTATATTCATTCTTATATTCATTCTTTTATTCATCCTTATATTCATTCTTTTATTTATCCTTCTTTTCATTCTTTTATTCATTCTTTTATTTATCCTTCTTTTCATTCTTTTATTCATTCTTTTATTCATTCTTTTATTCATTCTTTCATTAATTCTTCTATGCATTCTGTTATTTATTCTTTTATTCATCCTTTTATTCATTATTTTATTCATCTAATCAGTAAATCTTAAGTTAATGTTCATGACCTTGATCCGGATACGTTTTTTAGGGTGGATATTGCAGGTCTAGTGCTAGTTTAACTTTTCATTTTTCTTCAGACCAAGAAAAACCCTTTTTTCTCTCCCTGTAAAGAATATACATCCCTGTTATTTTCATGATGATTTTTCTTTCACTCGTTCCTTTTTGGTCTTTTTAATGTTCTCTGCATTTTCAAGGTCTCCTGTACAAGCACTTTCGTACATGTGGAGTAGAGCAGTGGGATATTGAGTTTAAGGAACTGTATACACACTACAGGTACGTGGAAATTGGAAATTAATGTACAGTAAAACAGTACAATAAATACACACCACAAGTGCATGTAAACAATATGTACAATGTACAGTAGAATAGTGGAGTATTACACACAACAGGTACATATAAATGGGACTGTAAGTGTAATATCTGGTAACCATTATTACATTGTGTGAAATGCCCGATTTACAACCTTTGACTGATCATCTACGGCATTGAACTCGGTGTGTTTTGTTTATCCCTAAAATTGTGTTAAAATTGCCAGAATGGTAGCTTACAGTTTGAACTTTAGGTAGCTGATGTGACATATATTTCCAGAAAATCCTAAATATTCTGTGTCCAACCCACGCTATTTCCCAAATTTACGTTTTTTCTCGCAATTTCTGGACAGAAAATATTAATATTTGTAAGTATAAAACTGCTTGCTAATAAATGTATTAACAGTTTTAAGCGTTTCTGTAGAGAAACCAGGCTAACTCTGTCAACCTTGATCAGTCAAAGGTTTAAATGGTACTGTTGAGAATTGAACAAACCACCTTACAAATATAGGGTCAATTGAAAATTATGTTATTGGAAGGACTAGCACCATAAACACGCTCTTTTTTGACCAAATTGGAAAGAGTAGCACCTCAAAAAATTGCAACTGTGAATACTGTTTTTCCCGAAGAACTAACTGCAACAGTTGGGTTGCAAGGAAGGTTTGAAAAATTGTTTGAAATAAGGGGCGGAAAATGTAAAAATAAATTTTCTTGCTATTATCAAATATTAAGATGTATTGCACTTTTCTACATTTATTTTTCAATGGCTTTAAAAAAATGTAGTTTCTAGATCTTCAGCTCTAGGCTCAAAAAAGTTCTGGGCTAATTTTGAATTCTTTTTTACAAGGACCAGACTTTTTAAGGCCCTGCAACCCTTATTCATGCATAAAAAACTATTCCTCAAGTCAAAACATTTTAGGTCATAGTTTTTTTAAATGAGATTGCAAGGGCTTAATAACTAAAGGGAAGTGTGTCAAGAATTTAAGTAAGTGGCACTTACCACTTCTTGTTTAAAAAAAAAGAATGTACAATAAACACTGTAAATAAACTTGTTTAAAAAATGGAAATAGTGGTAACATCATAACTTTGTAAAAACTTAGGGAGGGAGGTCAGTGATAAATTTACTAATTGGCTAGTTGATTATTTGATTAATTGCCTTGTTGACTAGTTGATAAACTCCTTAATTTGGACACAAAAGTTGCAAATATTCACATAAACAATTGTATTTCAAACCTATAAAAAATACAGATTTAGTAGAAATAAAAATTTATATATAAATGTTATTGAATGTTTCATTAGACAGCTTACTTTTTAACTGTGTCGGGGTGATAAGGAGTGATTAAGGATTAGAGGGTTTGATGTAGTAGTTTTAAACATTTGTAAATACTTCTGAAAATATAGTTCTGGTTCTTTAGGTGGAATTTACTATGGACTGCAGAGTTATTTGTGGATTTGATTTTTCATTGACTAAAACGTTTAACTATTTGGTAATTTCCTTCTGTTGGAATGCAGAGAAATTGCCAGAGTATTGCTTTCGGTTGGAAACTTCTACAAGAGAGTTTTGTAGACGACATTGCTTGGGGGGGGGGGGGGGGGTTAAAAGGTAGATTTATGGTCAACAGTGGGGGGTGCTAAGGTTCGAGGATGAAGGGATTGAATGGGAGAATAATAGGTGAATTTAAAGCATTGATTGATTGAAATGTGATTGATAAATTGACAGGAATGGGAAGGAGAGGATAGGGGTATATATTATGGTACATGTATAAATTAACACTACTATTTAGGTACAAAATATAGTAATAGCATTACATTAATTTGTCATAAATAAGTTGTAGCATCAACATCGACATAACAACTCTAAACGATTGTAAGTTTAAAACCTATACCTGACATCTATCCTTTGAGTGTTGTAGTTCTATACTTGTAAAACCAGTCAAAGGCATTTAACCACTCATCTGGAATCACTGCATTGAGTCAAAACTGAAAATGCAGAAAGAATGGGTAAAACAAAATACTCATAATTTCAACACATCAATTTGATTAAAGACATGTATAAATCTTTAAATCTAAGATCACGAAAATCATTGGAGAATCAAAAACTGTCGGAAAATTTTTGTAACTGAACTCAGCAAAAAACTCCTTTCGGACCTTAAAGACCTTAAACCAACATTGCATGAAACTGAAAAGATATGGAGAGGGTTTACAAGCCTGTAGCAAGAGTTGCAATACATCAATTCTACTCAATCTCTTAACAGACTAACCCTAAAATCTCCATGGGCCAAGCCCTGCAATGAGTGTCCAATAGGAGCGCAACACATAGTTGTTGGGCCCTGGACTGACAATGTACAAAAACTGAATGAGACACTAAACATATGTCTCTGTTTCTACTGAGAAGGTCTTGAACCCTGGCAGTTGAGATTTCATGACAGTATATGGGCTCATTCTTGAAGAGGACAATGTCTCCAACCTGTGGAACCAATCCCTGTTCTTTCCAGGCGATGGTGAGTCTCCTTCTGGTGTATTCCTGTTGCCAGAGAGAGTTGATGAGGTAAAGGACAATGTTCCACCTCAAGATTTGGTGAACTGGTATGTCTGGGTTTATTTCGTCCCCATAGCAATCTCGGAACCTGAGTAGTACATGGTAGGGGTTGAAGGTGACTCCCAAGGAGGCCCCAGGATTAGGGGTCAATTGATGAGCTTGTCAATGACCAGGTGAATCTAGGTCAGGAGTTCTTCATCTTTCATCTTCAATTTGTGAGGGCTGGAGATAAATTTGGTTAAGTGTTTTTAATAGAGCCTATGATTCTCTTCACTGCTCCAATACCAGTGTGATGTTTGGTGAGGGTGACGACACGACACACTTCGCCGAGATACTATTCTTGCAGATCAATAGAACTCTGATTTGGGATCGGAAACTACAGGCTGAGACGTAATAGATGCTGTCCAAGAGTGGAATGACAAGGCACTTCTGCTTGTTGGTGGTGATAATGGTTTTTGTGGCACTCGATTGATGGAGGAGAGGATGGAGGGCTTGACATAGTTCCAGGTAGCAGTGCGTTAAGGATTCTTTCTCCAGGTTCTGCAGGATTTGTGTATTAATTTCAGAGCCTAGACCACTTTAGAGAGGCTTTGGTTTTGCTCCAGTAGGCTGATGATGAGGTCCAAGGACAGGTTGACTGGCATAGGGGTGATGATGTTGATGGTTCTGGAATGGAGGTCACAGGCTTGAAGTGGCCCACAACTTTTGGAAGGCCAAGAGTATTTAATTTGAGGTAGGAAACTGCCATGTTACCAGAAATCGGAATTAATCCAATCACAGGTGGAACCAGATCTGGTGAGCAGGTCAGCTGGCTTGAGGGGTCGGGGACACTAGAACCAGTTGTCGAGTGAGGACACTGAGGATATCTCCATGAGTCTGGTTCCATAGAACACTAGAGGCCCAGCAGGATCGTTTTTAGCAATCATCTTCAGGATGATCTCTGAGTCTCCAATGCAAATCAAGTTATTTGTGGATTTGATTACTCACTGGCTAAACATTTCACTATCTGGTGTTTTCCTTTTCTAGGAGTACATAGTAATTGCTGGAGTATTGCTTTGGCTTGGAATGTCTCCGAGAGGAGGGGTTGGTAAAGAGGACATTGCATGGGGGGGGGGGGTTAGAAGGCATATTTATGGTCAACAAACTTGTTTTTTATTAAGGAACTAAAATTAGTGGCAACAATATAACTTAGTTTGTTAAGAAACTGGAAAAAGTGGCAACATCATAATTTGTTTTTATTCAGGAACTGGAAAGAGTGGCATCATGAAGTTCACAACTTGCCGAACAAAAACAATGATAAGGTAGGAATTTAAATATTAATATTCATTGCAAAAATTAAGTTAGATGCTGTTGTAAAAATTTCTTATTTTTTATTTCTAATGAGAAAAAAAGTTTGAATCTGTTATTTAATTTTTATTTTGTTTAAAGAAAAGTGGAGGGATTACAAAAAATTACCCTGGAAATCTAATTTGAGTTTTTTAGTCTGGTAAGTTCAGCAACAACAAGTTTAGTGGACCTGAGTTCATTTCTTCGAACTACACTAGATCCAGGTCAAAAGTGTTAAAAGGGTTATATTTCAAAATCGATTACGTCAATTTATTAGGTATTGAGGGGTTTGAGCCTTGGGGAATTTTTTTTAGGAAAATTCTCAAAAAGTTTTTTTTAAGATTTGTAAAAATAGAGCAAAACTGAACATTACCTTTAACTAATCATCTAACTTATCATTTACTTTAAATATTAAACAGATATATTTATACAGCATTTAGAATAGAACTTCAGAGAGGATTAAAGGTTTGTGTCATAAGATGGATCCACTTTTACTGCTGTTAACAGTTACTTTCCAAGAATTTGTCCCAGAGCTGTCCTTGTATTTCACAATTGAATGTAAAGAAGCCCAAAACCCAATCCTGAATTTTTTAACTCTTGACTTTGATCACCGAGTTCATCCAAATTTATTAATTTTTTTTTTTTATTATTCCAGGGACAGGCCTAGGAGCAAGAAGAATAATAGTTCACCTGCCAGGAACTTTGAGAAAATGCATTTGGGGTTTTACTCTTGTTGGGATTTTTTGATCTTGTTTTATTATGAAAAACCTTCTCATCTTGGTAGCATTTAAAGTTATTAGAATTATTGCAGGTGTGTTTTCTAAAGCAATCTTTAAAATACCCCATGGAAAGAAATGGTACTACTAACTCCCTGTAACTTTGTCAATTTTAAAATTTTTTTGCTTACTTGTTACTACTTCTAACTTCACTTTTTAGAATTTGTTGCATGTTTTTTTTCCTTTCTCAAATTTTCTCTTGAGTGTTTGTAGGTCATCTCTAGTCAATGATCCCACCAAACCACAGAAACATTATCCAAAGGAACAAGACTTTTAAGTGATAAAACAATCTAAATATTCATGTCAAATAGGGTCAACCTTCAAATGTCCAAAGGGTGTTTTGGTTGTTAAGAGTCAAAAATATTTTTACCCTTTCATAAGAACTGGGACTGAATTAAATGATCTTGAGCTACAATGCCAAACTACATACGGATGGTTCAAATTCAAACCCCCATTCGAAGTTTAAGAAAGGATTTAAAATAGCAATTCACATTTGGTTCCGAGTAAAATCTTTCGTTTTTCAGACACAAAAGTTTATTATTATTTTTATTAACCCTTAAAGCTTTGTTTTTGTCTAATATTTTGGGCTTAACAATAAAGCTTTGGCTGATTAGACAAGTCCCTCTGCTCCTTTACCCACCACTCCAATGTCAGGTATGATAGGGGCATTTATTTTTAAATTGTGTAGAGGGGGGTGGGGGAGTTATTTGTTTTAATTAATAGGGGAGTCTTGTTTGTTTTAACAGTGTTTACTCCCTTTTTTCTCATTTTGCTGTTTTTCTGCCTTTTATTTGATCACTGTGGACTGGACACTTTCTGGTACAGAGCTGGTCAATAGCTGCAGGACTAAATCAGGCTGTTATTATTATTTTTTTATTTAAGAAAAATCATAGTGTCAAGATGAATAGAATAGACGACTTTCAGAAATCAATATAATTATTGTAAATTATATTGATAACATCAAATCTGTTATCAGGCCTGCTAGTATTTGATTCTACAGATCGTTTTTTTACAAGGAAATTATTTTTATTTTCTAGTTCCGCCGCCTGTTTTGCCATACACTCCTATGACTACTCCACCCCCAGTTCTAGCTATTCCACCTCCAGGTATATTTTCCTATTCTTAAGAACTTAAAGAAATTCATATATTTTTTAATTGGTCACAAGCTACCATTAAAAAAAGATTTTTAAAGTCGCTAGTAAGACGAATATGATTTTATTCTTAAGCTTCTGAACACCAACTATCTCTGTATTTCTAGATATTATTGAAATGTTTGATTTATGGCAAAATAATCAAGTTTTTTTGGGCTAAATTTTCCAAACCATTTTCTGTTTTCTGCCAATCAATAAAAATAAGTCATTTAGTGTTAAAAAATTCTTGCTTAAAAATTCTTGCTTGATAAATATTTGGACTTCAGATGTGATAAACATTTGTTTCAGTTGCTCAAGTGAGTATCAAATCATAGGTTTTTTTGGTGTTCTGATTCCATTCTGACCTGAGATGATCCTTAGATCATTTGATCTCCAAATATTTATGACCTCTGAAACGCAGCCTGTACAAAATTTGGTGTTACAAGGTGTTTAATTGTAACCCCCCCCCCCCCCTCCTTGTTTTGAAAAGTTTGTTCTTCTAGGTCAAACTCTGACATTACCGATGATGGGACCCAATGGAACAACTATACAGGTACTTACAAAGTTCTACATTTTTTGCTTTAAATTGGCGATTCTTTAACCAAAATATACATGTATAACATGAATATTAAAATCTTCTCAGGTTTTAGCTAATTAAAGATCGGTAAAATTTTCCTGTTCTTCAATTGTCGGCTTAACAAAATATATAGCTCTGCTAAATTGACATGTTTATAGGTCCAGTTGATGAGTCTCCCCAGTGTTGCACCCCCTACACCTCAGACACCAGAGCCAACACCTAGGCATCCAAACCCCAACACACCACTCCCCCTTCATCACCCATCACTTCATCACATCCCCCACTTAGACCTGTCTATGTTCCCAAATACCTTAAAAGACTCATTCTTAAATAATACTGGAGTTTTAAATTTTTTTTTTCTGCATTTATTTTGCTTTTTTAGAATTTTGAAACCACCATTTTGAGTTTAAAGATACTGTATCCCACTGATGAAATTCAAACCTGAAATGAGATCACTAGTGGTTTTTCTGTCTTGAAAAAAGATAATTCTTTGCACTGGTGCATCAATCTGGAAGTCACTTTAAGACACTCACAGAGCTTTAAGTTTTTCTGAGTGAAAGGTATAAAAAGGGTACTGTTGTGAACCAGACAGTAAAATTTAAATGTATAGTCCCTTTTAACACCACTAACAATTTTTTTGTATCTTGTTATAAGGGTGTGTGATTTAGAAAGTTAGCTTGAATAATTCCTCTTGTTTACTTCCAATTTTGAAAAATATTTAACTGCCACCCTGGAAATCCTTCTTTTTTGAACTTAGTTGAAGGAATGGCTGTTGTAGATTTAACTACATCAATCCTAACTTCTCAGCGGGTGCTCCACCTCAGGAAAACAGATCTTAAAATTAAAACCATTCGAAACCTTAAACTTGTGTGAAATGAAATTGAAACATTTTGCTCGTGTTCTCAAATTGTTTAGCCAATTGTAAAACACTGTTGAAATGTCAGATACTCTGAAAGTGTAATTCTGCACAAAATGTTTGTTAACTCTAAATGTTAGTGTAGTGCAATATTTGAATGTCAAAAAAACTAAACTTTCGTTTTTCAAATTAAAGAAATGAAACTTGTTAAAAAAAGATTCTTTTTTACAAACATACCTGATATCCGGGGTACCCACAAATTTTGGGGGAGTGTAAAACAATTATTTTTCTAGGAAATATGTACCCCTGTAAGGTGTAATAAAAGATCGTTTATCAGGATGCAAAATGGTCTTCTGCTGTTGACAATTTTCTTCATCCTAAGGCCCCAACTTTTTATACAACTTGCTCAGTTAATTTGAATGGTTTGGAAATAGAAAGGATGGTTTAGGATGTAATAATATTGAGTTCTATTTCAGTCTGGTGTTTCTGTGAAAAGAATTTTATCTTATTTCAAGATAGAGCTCTTTGAAATGTTAACCATGTTAACATAGGGCTCTTATTTTAAAACGTGCATATAATTTGGTCTAAACTTGAAAATATTTAACTTTTAATAAGAGTTAAGACTAGACTTTTAATTGCAGCCTCTGGATAAGTATACTTTCATCTATTAATATTGAGAATAACAAAACCTTTGCTTATGACATAAATTTGTCTAATGGTTCAAGCCGATGTATCAACCAGTTTGAAAGCAGAATGTAATTTGCTTTTATGTTAAAAAAAAGTTTTGTCACAGGCCTCAACTGATAGTTCTACCAGTGTTAAGAATAGGACAAGGTGAAATAGAAATAAAAAAAAATCAACTCAGATTAATCTTTATTTTGAAAACTTCATTTAAGTTCATCATATTCACTGTGCAGTAGCTCAGTTGCTTATATAAACTCACTTTCAGCACTTTTAAAAATATTAACAATTGATTATATTTATGGAGAACTGGCTTTTAAACAACTATTATTAGTTTACAATCATTTTCCTACATCACTTTAAGTGGCTCATATTTAGTCACTTAGAAGCTCATATTTAATCACTTTAAGTAGCTCATATTCATTCACTTAAGTAGCTCAATGTTCACTTGCCAGTAGTAAATTGTTTTTTCACTATTAAATAACTTTGAGCAAAATTTTAAATCCATGACATTGATTTCCACGGGGTGGCTGGCTTGTTACATGACATTGATTTCCACGGGGTGGCTGGCTTGTTACATGACATTGATTTCCACGGGGTGGCTGGCTTGTTACAGAATGACACCATGAATCTTGTTATTTTATTCTCAAGCTAGAAGCTCATAATTCATTATTCACTTGCTTATTCTCTCAGCTCACATTTACACTTACTTTATAATTAACTCTTGTTTAAAGTTTAATCACTAGTGGTACTTTTCTACTATTAGGTAGCTCATTATAACTTGTTAATTGTACCAATTTACTTTTTGAAAACACTTTTTTCACTTCTGTAGTAGTAGTACATATCCTAACAAATAGAGTATCCATATTTACTCAAAAACATAGATGCACAATACCTAATGCCAACAAATAATACTCTTTAGAAGAACATATTTTAGAAAAATTCATTTTTTATTTCAATAATTTTACCTAAATAGTTCCAGAGAGCTTGTTCCTTGCCATACTTCAAGTCCAAAGAAGAAGTCTAGGAGTGAAGAAAGGAATACTACAATGAATGCTGAAATTTTTAGCTTTTAGATCAAAAACTTTTGTTTTGACCCCTTGCTTTTCTTCCAAAAGGCAACCTCTAGTGATTATACTTTTCCATGTTAAGTTTGATAAAGATAAACAGTCATGTGATTGAGAATTATGGTTGGGGATGGTACATGAAACAATTGTAATAATAAACGAAAGTTAAAACCCACAATCAATTGATCAACGAGCTGAAGTTTCGATTTATCTTTTACCTTGAGTGTTGGGTAGTATAATACAGGCAATTTTCATCAACTTTTTTCCTCATTCAATGGTATATATTAAAGAGCGGATATGCTAGCTGATCTCAAAGCCATTCAGAAGAAAAGGAAAGCAGAAGAAACTAAGGTAGGCCATTCAAATTTCCGTTGTAACCTAAAATTTAGTAAAAGTTTGTTGAAAATGAATTTCAATTTAATTTTAAGTGAGTCTGATTACCATCAGACATTTTAATTTCTTCCAGAATCTTCCAAGAGGATAAACTAATTTCTTCCAGAAAGAACAAGATATCCTTGTTTTTCTAACTGAAAATCTATTTGCAACTTTGGTTTCTTGGATACAGTGATTAAGAGTCATCATTGTTATTCAGAAATTCTGTTGTGAATCAGTTTGTAAAATTGGGGGTAACTTAAAACTACTTTGAGAGTCCCTTTAACCAAACTAATCATTAATTATTTCATTGTTAATAATGATAATATTCAGTATTAATTTGCTAGAAAATCAAAATAGATGATAAAATTGGAATGCATTTTTGGATTTTCGACAACTTATACATCAATGCATTTCTAGCAAAAAAAAATATCTTTTCATAATTTAAGGGTCGGAACAGTAAGAAGTTTAAACCTAAGACTCAGATTATGGCACCCAGCACAGCAGGTTAGTTCATATTGTTAATCGTTTTTGGCACCTTCGACTTATTTTTTAGTTCCTTTATTGATCCTTCAGTCTGTTTTGTTAAATTTTGTTTATCATTTGAAAAAATCATTAATACAGTAAAATCTAAATAAAAAAAAACCTTTTACCAGAATAATTTTGTATTCAGAGAAAAATCTTTTATTTGAAATGAACCCAGGATTTATATATATACTTTGGTTGACTGTGTGTATGTCAGATTGTATCCAATTTACGTCGACACAGCTAAACTGATCGGGTCAAAATTTGTGAGAGACCTCACATGACCTCAGGGAACGTTTATGGATGCCAAAAATGTGTGTCCAAAACTTTTTGATTTTCGTAAATTTTGAAAATGCGCAAAAACATATTTATACGTAAATTTATTGTTAGAGTAAAGTGCGTTATTTGGTTATATTTAAAAACCCTAATATCATTGCAAGTAGAGATCTTAGCCTAACCAAAATTACTTCTTAATAAAATATTATTATCAGATTTATATTTCTCTAGTCGCGAAATTTTTTCTTCACTTAGTGTGACATTTACAGGACATTAAAAACATATGCAAAATAATGCATTTTTAAAATTTTAGAGCTAAGAAATGCAAATGAAGAGCTAAGCTTTGTATAGTTGTTGCAAGGTTGTAATGCAAGGAAAAAATTTTCAGAGGTGTACGCATCTTTTGTGCGGTAATGGTAATGTAAACACAAGACGGATGTCAAAGCCTGACATGGGATTCATCTTTCACAATAAATATCAATGAAATATTTTGGTCATAGGAAACAAGTATATGAATTATCAAAATTATCAAAATTAAATGCTTTTAACCTTCTCGGATATTAAACGTCACTAATGCATCTATTCTTGTTTACAATTTCCACCTAGAAAGAACTGGTTACAATATATAAGCAGAGTGTACGCAACTACAATAATTTTTCCTTGCATTATAACCTTGGTTTATTGATTGTTTTTTGAAATTTGATTTTCCTCCTGTAGTGGCTTCTATAGATCTTTAGTAGCTCCCAAAGTGTCGATGTTGCTATTATTGCATATTAAAAGTTATGCATACTGCAAAATTATTAAAATATTTTTGTAAGATGCGGTATTTGGTTATACATGAAATTGCGGAATTTGGTTTTAGTTTTACATTAATATGAAACAGCACAAAGGTTGAATTAGAACAAAAATGTGGGGACTAGTTTGCCCAAATATTCTGATGTGAGCAAGCTATGGGAAGCCATTGAAAAGTTCTTAGGGATGACAATAATGTGCAAATGAGAACTGGATTGTTTCCTTGGAATGAACAGGCTCCTAACAAACTCAAGCTATTGCCAGGAACTGTTTTTAAGAGGAGCTTGATGATCCTCAAGAGAAGCTTGATGATCCTCTTCTTGCTGAACTGTTTGATGATCCTCCCCTCACTGAACAGCTTGATGATCCTCCAAGTGAAAAACAATCAAAAAGTTTTTTGTCATGAATATACTCATGAAAAATAGTGTTCTTATAAACGTTTTTACTGTACCAGCTTAAACGAAAAAGTTGACTCTATAACCAAATAGCGCAATTTATAACCAACCCAAGGGAAATATTTGACCAAATACAGCTTTAAAGCAACCTTTGTATGTGCAGCAATGATGAATAATTTCCATTTTTTTCTTCGGTTTCTTACTCAAATATCTTCAAACTTTACAATATATGTTTTTTCAAACGGTTAGTGTTTATCTAAGTGATGTGTGTTATTCCTAAAAATCGGAAAAGTTGAGTTAACTATAACCAAATAACGCACTTTACTCTACTATTTTACTGTACAAAGAGAAGATAGTCACAGAAAGAACCACAATTAATTATTGAAATATAAGATGGGAGTGAAGCGCCTTAAAAGCCTAATTTATATAAACTAAGTCTGTGTCTGAATTTGATGAATTTAAGCCGCGTCTCAAATCCCCCAAAAACCGGTTTTAATTTAGCGCAGGCTTAAATCTTGAAAAATAAAATACAATTTTAAGTGGAAGCAACCATATTTGTGGCTCAAATTCTTTAAATTCGACCTCTGGTTTGGTATGAGTTTTCTGGATTTATCTTGATGTATTATTTTATTTGATTATATTCAATCTGTTTTTGAAACAAATATGAAGTTATGCTTGATAAACCAACAAGTTATTCTCCTCGGATATAGAAATGTTAAAACATTTTGTAAAAAAGTAGCAAGTTACTGATTTGTGGAGACAGTCGTGAGTTTTTCCATTCTTTATCTAATAACTGTGTATTTTGTTCCTTGTGTAACCTGATGCTAAAGTGTCGCAGGGCATTTTCCATCTTATCCTGATATATAAAGAGCTTTACGGGGAAACCTATCCCAACCTCTCCGCAACAATATATTCCAAACTTTTAAAAACAATTGTTGTCGTAATGGATACTTAGTCACACACCAGGGACTAAAAACCATACTACAATAAACAAAAAGGAAAAATAAATAAAGATTTTGAATCGTTGATAGTATCTAAATGGATCTGAGCTAAATCTGTTAAATATTTACTTAGCAGCTTGTCTGTCTGTTGTGTGTGTTTGTATCCAACTAACTGAAAACGACTGAATCGGTCAGGCCCGAATCTTTTATGGCAACTAACAAGTCAACAATTATTATTTTTAAAAATTCGCCAATATAAATACCACATCAAATTAGACCGCGTCAATGGGTCTAAATTACAATTTGGGGGATAAATCAGAAAATTTAAGAAGAATGAATCATTTCAAAAAATTTAATAAGGTTATTAAAAAAAATTTTGCAGAAAATGCTTGATTTTTTGAGTATTATGTGCGTATTTTGGCGTTAAAGATTGAAGATAATCTAATATGATATGGGACGCTCTGTAGAAAATTTCTAAAATTGGAGAGAAATTAAAAATAGCCACTTATAGAGCAACAGATTGTTAGGAAAAGAGACACTCAGGGAATAGGAATAAAGGGAAAGGAAATGGCGCTGGTCTGGCATGAGAAAGCCAGTCGCACTGCTTTGCAGAACAGTACGTTAAACTAACACACACTCTTTTGGTACAGACACACAACATGATTACAGTCAAGGAAACTGCAGAACAATGTTGTCAATTATAAATAAACTTGAATAACGACTTTATTTGGTGTAAACTTTAATCAAGTTATAATCTTTGCATGAACATTTGGCTTATAGTGTTGACTTAAATATATAAATGATATGCTACATGTATATTAAACTTATTTTTAAGTAAACAATTAACAATAAACAAATGTACTCTCCTAGACTGTACAAATACCGAGATTCGTATGTACTGTATATACCTACAGTACACACCTTCGGTACTGTAAACTTGCACACATTTTTTGGTACAGACACACACACACACATAACGTTTCCGCCCCCTGGAGACACTTAGCTTGCCATGTAAAGACTTGTTTGTTAATTTTTATTAATACTTGAATTTAAATTTATCCTTATTAACTGTGTCTACATAATACGTATATATAACATTCAATATTTTGTATGAGAAAATTAGGGATCTTTGACCAGAGGTTGAGGGGGGGCTTTGATCAAGGGATAAAGAACTGAAATGATTAGATTAAGCATTGATCCTCAATAAACAATGTCACTTGATATCAATATTCACAGTGCGCACCTTTGATTTGAGGATAATTGCATAATCACTTCATTTTATTTATTACGGCAGGGTAGAAATATACTGCAAGATATTGAATGCAAATTAAATAAATCAGATTAAGAATTGATCTAAATATCCACATTACCAGACGCGCAATTAAGGAGAGGGCAGCATGGCAAACCCCCCTCCCCCCCCCCNACGAAAAAATACCTTAAATTAGAAAAATATGTTTACTAGTTCTTATTTGTTAGGTTCTGGATCCACAGAGGAAGATGTAAATACTCTTGATCTTCTCCCAGAGGATAAACTGTATATAGGGGTAATCAAGGTATATATTCCTTTCTTGATCTTCCAGGAGTTAAACTGTATATACGAGTAATCAAGGTATATTCTCCTATCTTGATCTTCCACAGTATAAACTGTGTATAGTATTAATAAAGGTATATTCTCCTATCTTGATCTTCTCCCAGAGGATAAACTGTATATAGGAGTAATCAAGGTATATTTTCCTTTCTTGATCTTCCTCTTATAAAGGGGTTCACAAGGTATATTTTCCTTTCTTGATCTTCCAGATGATAAACTGTATATAGTAGTAATCTAGGTATAATTTCCTTTCATGATCCTCTAGGGGATAAACTGTATATAGGAGTAATCAAGGTATATTCTCCTTTCTTGATCTTCCAAGAGGATAAACTGTATATAGGAGTAATCATGTTATATTCTCCTTTCTTGATCTTCCAAGAGGATAAACTGTATATAGGAGTAATCTAGGTATATTTTCCTTTCTTAATCTTCTAGAGGGTGCACTGTATAAAGGAGTAATTAAAAGGACGGTACACATAATTTCAAGTGACCTTCAAATTAAAGGGAGATATTTCTGATTCACAACGGTACCCTTTAAACCTCTGTCCGGATATCGATGTGGTAGATACCCTCATTTTTATAGCTGAAGATTTAAATGCGGTTTATTTGCATCAAATTTTCAGCCACTCTATAAATGGAAGGTCACTTGAAATTACGCTTACAGTCCCTTTAAGTTATATTTAAATTTTTCTAGTAAACATCTATATTTTGTCTTTTTAAGGACTGGAGGGGTAAGTTTGGATTCCTGAAGTGTAGTGATATTCAGGGTAAAATATTCCTTCATAGTAAGGACATCAAGGTAAACATTTATCAACTAAAACTAATGCCATTAGAAAACCTTCGTGTGTTCGTTCGAGTACAGATATATGTGTGTTAACGTTTTTAAATCCGTGTTTATGATCAGCTGAAAATGCCAGTGTAGAAAATAGACCTTATGAGAGAATGTTTAAACTTCAAGAAGGGGGGGGGGTCTTTAAACACCTATACCCTATCAAGAAAATGCAGAAGCAGATTTCTCTTTATTTAAAAATATTTAAAAATTCTTGATATTCCTATCAAAGTTTAAATTATTACATACTAGCTTGGGAACCCCACATTGCCCAGGTTACTTTTTAGTTACTCCTACCGTTTACCTACCCTAGGTCTTAATTAACCATTTAAGGAACATTCCCGTGTTTTTCCCAATTCCCCAATCAAAGTTTGAGGCAAATTGGTCATGGGGTTCCTGAGTCAGGATCGGACATGCATACAAACAAACAAAAAGAGAGATTGCTATTTTATATATAGAGATTCTTTCCTTTCCATTCTGTTACCACTGTAAGTAAGGAACACTTGGAAGAAATTTCAATTTAACAAAAATCATATTTTATTGTTGTGTTGAACCTTGGTATGTTTTTAGTCTGGTTTGGAGTTGGTAGGAGAGGCACAGAAAGCAACCTTCCAGGTAACATTCAATAATAATGATTATCAGAGGCGTATACAGGGGGGGGGGCTATTGTTTTACCCCCTCCCCCCTCCAGGAGAAGTGAAACCTGAGTTTCTGCAATTTTCTAAAAGGTTAGGCCCGCCCCCAAGAGAAAAGGTCCCTGATGATATTCGATTAGTGCTTAGAATGATAAGATCCAATTCATTTTTGATACAGATTTTGATCGTAGAGGACACCCAAAGAGTCGGATTGGATCGGATTGGATTGGATTGGATTTTGGTTGAAATTTTGCCAATTGAATATGTCACTGTGGATCTGCATATTTTTGTAAATCAAGATCAGGATGTTATCCCCCTCATCCCCCCTGTCTATTTACAAACTGTTATGAATTCGAATGCTTTTTTCAATATTTTTCTTTTATTCAAAATGTCGAAATACATTATTATTATTTTAGGTTCTTCACTACGAGAAAAGTGCTGTAGGGGCCAAGGTAAAAATGTCAATATAAAATTCTTGAACTATACATAAACAGCTTTTTAGATTTCTTAAGAATTATATTTTAGTATTTAATTATAATCTGACGATGAATTTTTACCTATATGATAATTGCCAGTTATTTATTTGTTCGCTAGAGCTGGGCAAACGGCTGGACCAAACCGGCTGACATTTTTTTAGGGAATTTATGGGTTATACTCAACGGGTGACATAGGAAAAAATGAATTCGATGGGCAAGGCCGGGCACTTGAGCTAAAATCATAATTTGAAGACCAAGCGCGGGTAAACGGCGGGGGTAACTTTGAGTAATCTGGGCACTTGAGCAAGTATTTAATAGTCTTCTATTTTAATAGTCAATTAATGTTTTTTAGGCTGTTAATGTGATAATTCTTGGAAAATAGCTCTCTTCCACCATTTAAAAGTCGAATTGTGTTTTTTTTATTGCCCTTATATTACCATGTTGATTTCTCAAAATAGCCGATTGCTCAAAAATGCCAAATCATTCTGTATCGGCCATACTATGATTGATTAAGATTCAAATATCTCTGATGTACTTTCAATTGAAAAACATGGAAACTTCTTATAAAAGTTAATTACCTAATTCGTAAGTTGTATTCAGGCACATTCCCAGTTAAATAATCCAACCAAATGTGATAAATTACTTGTTAAATTCTACTTCTTTCCTGTCAAATTGCTTGAAAATTGTATTGATAAATCAGCAATATTGCTTTTATTATGTAAATTTTGTTCAGATTTTAAATAAATGGTGATAATTGTGTCGATAAATCAGCAATATTGCTTTTATTATGTAAATTTTGTTCGTTTTTTTTTAATAAATCTGTGTCTGTCAAGCTCGCCTTTCTTTATTAAAAATGATTTTATCGGGTGTAAAACTGATGATGTATCGAGTATTTAAGGGACCTAACATTTGAAGAGTAAAATGTCTGATTTGCCAAAATTATCTAAATCAATCTATCTAAATTCTGATTTTAGATAATTTAGAAACCGATTCGCACGCAAAACTGCGTTATTATTTTGTAAAGATTGAATTTCTCCTTACCTTCATAAAACATGTTCAGAGAAGACCAAAAATATAAATGAAAATGATTATAGATTATGATAGATGCCACTACGTCTTTAAAATTGTATATTAACGCCGCATTTCTTTATAATAAGCATTGAATAGTAAAGACATTTTGCCGGAGATAAAAGGGTGTGGCTGGGAAGCATTATGGATGAGTAAATTGCGGGATGGAGGCTATATTGGTGCTGCTTGCCTTCCCCCACCACCCCCTCGTCTTAAATACTGTGAACGGTTCTAACTCTTCCATTATATTAAAACTGCTATCGTCAAAAGTTGTTTTATCAAATTATGACAAAAAAATATCCTAAGAGAAAAATATGTTAAAGGAAATGTTGAGAATAACCAATTTTATTATTATTTTAATTGTCAAATAGTGCAGTTTTTCAACAATCTTTCCATTTATCTAACTTCAAAGTAGGACTGGGCATTTTTTTACAGTCGAACGGCATGATTATGAAAATTTACGTAAGATTCCGAAAAGTTAGTCTTACGAACGAGTTTGTCTAAGCGTTAACGAACGGTTTTAAACAAGTCTGCTCTTGCCCAGCTCGCCCAGCCGGCCCTACTCATAGGATTACGGGAAATGTGAAGAAACATATCCGCGAACTTTAAATTCTTGTAATTTTAATTTTTCACTCATGGGCTTATGGTTATCATTATTTATAGACATAATACAAAAAAACACTCAGATATTTGGAGAGGTATAAGATTTACAAACTGACGAGGGTAGAAAGGCCAGCCAGCCACAACAATTTCTCGTCCGAGCCACCTCGGAATCCTCGTCCTTTGATTATTTTGTATTAAAAAATTTCCATTTCTTAAAAATAAAACTATTTTTTAAAATCTGGCCACGTTAGGGAATAGAATATGGATGGACTAAAGTATTGCAATGATTTTATCATGTTTGAATCTTCAAATCCTTAATGGCTAACCTTCGTGATATAAAATAAATAGCAAAATATTCGGCATGCCTCTGCCTTTAATTTTCCCCATGGAACCACCCGGAAAAATTCTATGGTTTTCACGATAGTTAAGAGAGAAAAAATTGAAGTTCTATAAACTTGGACTTATTTGCGGCATTCTACACCAGGAATATCTGAAAATGCACATTAAACTTGAATTCTTTAATTCAATTGAAATTTTTTTTTCCATTTACAAAAATTTGATATTTCATTTATGCCCTAACGTGGCCCGATTCTTTAAAAATAGTGCTATCTGGAAGGATTAGATACTCAAAAAAAATATTGAAAGGACGAAGGATTTCGAGGCGGCTCGGACGAGAAAATGAGGAGAATGTGGCTCGGACGAGAAATCGTTGTGGCTGGCCTTCCTCCCTTTAACTGACAGAAGCTTGATTGTACCCGATGTTGAACGAAACATTCTTTTTTCAATATAAATTGTTTGATAAACTATCGCAAAAACAAACTATTCCTGGTTTTTTCAAAATATGTTGTACCCTGTCTGCATACCTACAAATTACTGGTGATTTTGATATTTTTTATATTAAAAAATGCACGAATCCGAAGGATATTTGAATATCTATTATTTAGTAATGTTGAAAATTAATGACAGCGATCTGATCTGTTCCAAGTTCGTGCAGTCAAATTTTGACAATCTTCAGTCAACTTTTGTTCATACTTAGATTTTATCAGTTTGATTAGAAATATTTTACGAGAAAGAATTGTTGAACTTCTTGTAGGTTTTAGGGGAAATAAAATTATTCAAATTTTAATTTAAGCTCGACGATATTACTACGGACTCGGAATCTGCAATTCTAGTTCTACACTTCGGTTTGATAAAATGTTTAAAGGGCCTCAAAAACGACGTTATCATCCACATTATTTATCAGTTAAAGGGTACCTTTGTGAATCAGGCATGGCAAACTATCAATGGAGGTTCACTTAGTTTACAGTCGTCAGTCCCTTTAAGAAACTCAATGATTTCTTTTTAAAAATACTTTAACCCTGATTTTTTCAAATATTTCTAAACTAACTTGTCTAAAAATATTTATGATATACTTTTTAAGAAAACGGATTCCTTCTGTGCCCCCCACGCCCTCACCCGACCCTTTGATGACCATGACTGAATTTTGACCTTGTATTAAATGTAATCTATAACCTTTATACAATGGCGAGACACCGTTGGAAAAATGACGCCAAGATTTTTGACAATAAAGTAGTTTATGCAGAATCATTCACGTTGTATAATTAATTACAAAATAAATTAAAAACTTCCCCCCCTCCCCCCCACTCAGGCTTCTAGTTTCAACTCGTAATTTTCCCTTAATGGGATCTAAAATTGATATCGTTATTCAATTATGACAAATTAGTGTTTAAGTATTGTTTAAAGGATTGATTAGCTGATTGATGAGTGGCGAGGGGAGTGCGGAATATATATTTCCCTCAAAAGTTTTTAGTAATTAATTTTCCCGCCAAATTATTTAAATTTTTTTTCCCGCCAAGAAATGGGCCCCATGGCAGGAAAAGGTTGCACTAATAACAATTTATATCCACCCCTTGTCACTTTTTCTTCTCATCACCAGTTACCGAAAAATGACAAGTTTTTGTTGTAATTTATATTGTTGATGAATTGTAGTGAGGCCGCTATTTATCATGGCTGGGATATGTCATAATCAATTGTCTGCAATTCACAATCTCCCAATCCCTCTTCAAACGGTCCTCCTTCACCTCAATGTATTTGGGTGCCTGGTTTCCAGTTTTATCTAAGTAAGTCTCACCAAGCTTGTTTTCCATCACTTTTACATATGGATCATAATCCAAAACACATACTCCTCCAGTTTTATCTGAGGGTTTTATGATTATCTCACACTCCCTTTGTTTACACTGCAATGATCTAATGGCAACCCATTGTTCTTTAGATAAATTAGACTGGTGAGGATTAAGCTTAGCTCCGACAGTACATGCATGTACGGCACTTAGATGTTCCTGCAGTTTTGGTGGACAAGGGTGGTTTCTGGGAAAATTAGTTTTAATAGTCTTGTCCTGAAATATACTCTGGGTTTGAATACCATCCTCATTATCTCCGTTACTATCATCTTCTTCTGCTTCCTGATTTTTGCTAAACCAAAACTCTTTCCATCTGCAAGCTCTAGAGTACCTCTGATAGGCTACTTCTACTTCAGTTCTATTCACTGTTCTGCGCATCGGACAGAAATTTAAACCTTTATTCAAAACTTCTTCCTCATGTTTACTTAAACTCACTGAGCTGTAGTTAGAGCAAAGTTTCAATTTCTTTCGGTTCATCTTTCTGTTCTCTCTTTTTCTCTTATTTCTGCTAACAAAGCTCCTAGAACTGTGTTGTGATGAAAAAGTAGATAAACTGCTGGTACCTGATGTATTGATTTCTGGAGGTACTTCTTTGTCAGCAGACTGCAGTAGGTTCACAAGCTTCTGTTTATGGTTATTATTTATCTGCTTGCATTATGACCTTCCAAAGCTTGTAATCCTGTCTATTAAATAGGTCTGCAGTTCTAGATCTCCAGGTTCAACGGCCTCAATCAAATTTTTCTCACTTACAGACAGATCCCTTCTCTGAGAAACCAATCTTAATTTCTCTTCTTGTTTCGCTATATTTAAAAGCTCTCTAGATACTCTTTGTTGTACCGCTTTCCATTTTGTTTTACCTTGGTCCGTATGGTTGTAACTGTTTTTCAATATTTGATTACATGTCCGAGGAACAACATCTAATTGTATACACTGGGTTAGGAACCATATCTTACATCCAGTCATCTTCACAGCTTTCATTTTGTCTTTTGTCTTGAAATATAACTTTCTATTACTCTTTGAATTCCAAAATTGTTCATATCTGTATATTAAAGAACCTGGAGAATGACATATTTTACCCCTAAGATGGTTCAAGGGGGGCAGCTGAGACGCGTTATTAGTCTCCTCTAGCTCCGAGTGTAGGTTGGAAAACTCTCGGACAGTCGGGGACAGAGCAGGGGTAAACTCATCTTTTTCTGGTGACACTGGTACTCCGGTCATCGTTGTTAGCTCTATCCCAAAGCTGCTGGTCTGGTTGGTTAGGGGATCCAGTTTCAGTTTCAGTATTCCACATATTTGATTATTCCCACTTGTAAAAATACTTTACTCTAATTNTTCAGCCCACGTGGATTTAACGGTTCTGTCAATATTCCAGAAAGCTGTGACTTTCGATCACAATTTGACCCATTAAACATAATTTTTAGCCTTTTGTCTTGGATACTTTTTTGTCGGCATATGCAATTTTGAATAAAAAAGTATAGAATAAACAAATCTTTAAGGTAAAAGATTGTTGAATTATAGAGAAAAACATGTTTGATTTCAAACAGAAGAAACCAAATGCTGCTCAAAGCATCCCTTTCGATTAGGGAACAATCATTTTTCATTTTTCAATTCATTTTTCTCATATTATCAAATCAAAATCAAATTAATATCAAATCAAATCAAAATCTAATCAAAATCAAATCAAAATCAAATCAAAATAAAATAAAAATAAAAATCAAATCAAAATCAAATCAAAATCAAATCAAAAATCAAATAAAAAATCAAATCAAAATCAAATCAAAATCAAATCAAAATCAAATTAAATTCAAATCAAAA